TAGTATGAGACCGAATCATCAGCATTACCGCATAATGAGAGAGGGAAATACTAGCATGAGACCGAATTGTCAGCATCACAGAGAATGGATAACTAGATCCACGAATGTTCTGCATAACGAGATTGCAATCCCCAAAATACCACCAACCTTCTGCTTACCTTCCCAATCAAGGCAGTTTAGCGTCATGCCGAGGACGAGTGCTTACTCGTGTCCCGTCGCTCAGGCGGACGAGTGCTTACTTTTGTTTAGCGTACGGCGGAGGAGCGCTTACTTTTGTTTAGCGTACAGGCGAATGAGCGCTTACTTTTGTTTAGCGTACAGGCGGACGAGCGCTTACTTTTGTTTAGCGACAGGCGGACGGGCGCTTACTTTTTTTTAGCGTACGACGGACGAGCGCTTACTTTTGTTTAGCGTATACAGGCGGACGAGTGCTTACTTGTGTTTAGCGTACGGCTTACTTTTGTTTAGCGTGCGGCGGACAAGCGCTTACTTTTGTTTAGCAAACGGCGGACGAGCGCTTACTTTTGTTTAGCGTGCGGCGGACGAGAGCTTACTCGTGTCCCGCCGCGAGTGCTTTATTTGTTTACTTACTCGTGTCACGCCGCGCAGACGTGACTGTACGGCAGGTGAGTGCCGCAGCACGGGCGAACCTATCAAAGCGACAGTTTACCGTCGTATCGAGGACGAGCGCTTACTTTTGTTTAGCGTACGGCAGACGGTTCTCACAGAAGCTTTCTTATTTTACTCAAGTCTGAAACACACAAGTCTGAAAGCTTGTCTTGACAGAATGGACACGATTTGCCTTTCTAAAGATTGCCACCATATAGTGGTTTTCCTTCACTCTTACACCACTTGAATATCCAGATTGTTGTCCTTTGCGGACCCGTTGTCTCCGATGATTGCGTAAATCTGCCGGAAATCAAAATTTTCCTTATTGATATCAAGACTCTAGAACTATTTTTAGTAATTTGCCCCTTGAAAGGCTGTTTATTGTCGTTATTTATATTGTATAAACTGAAAACAATTCAAAAAAATTTTTTATTTACTGAATTTAGCAATCGTTTGTAAGTTATCAGTGCGTTTGCTTATGTTATTATTCACCTTTCTCGAGAGTATAGCTTATAGTCCTTCACAAAGTCTCTCATAAGAGCGTCTGCTCCTCCTAAATGATCTATATATCATATCCCGTTTTACATTCGTTAAAGTGTTGTTTTATAACAAAACTCTTTTGTTTCAAGTTTATATTACCTCGTTGCTGCTACGCTTGCAGAGATAAACGTCGGTAGTTACGGCAAATAAAACAAGGAACTTGGACGCGAGCTGGTTTAGTGCATTATAGCTGTACTATACAAATCTTGGGAAACAAGTTTTTACGGTTATTATCACGGCTATATGTGTTATTGCTACTACGGACATAACACTATCAGTATGTTTTTACGCTAATCAAACTACGAGTAAGTTAACCTTTTGTATTTTTACATTGTATCTTGTGTCTTGTGTCTTTTCTCGATCTATTATACTTGTCGTTCCGATCGCTTTAATAGGATATAATGCAACGATCCTATTAATATCTTTTACGATGATCATATCCGGTAGCCAATGACTTGCCATGACCGGAAATCATACACAAGAAGATGGAAATAGCTAACCTTACATGGCATATGTCTTCAAATTTGTTGAGCTTGTTCAAGTAACGTATCAATTTCCGGGTTTCTGGGGTTCGATCGAAGAAATAATTGCGCTTTGTAATCGGATGATGAGCAGTGAAGATGATTTCGAGCTACTGAGTTCTTGTTGGACGTTAAGTGAAACGAAAAATGACAGAATCCAACGTCTCAATGGAAGAGTTTACGCTGCGATGGTTATCAAAGCGCTTCCGATTCTTCGGATTTGGTATGCGAATACTTTCCAGAATCACAAAGTTCGTATCATATCATGCTAAATCTTCCACTCTTATCCCTCTTCTCACAGAATATATTGTTTAGCATACCTCAAACAGTCGAATCACTTTATGTTCCTTCCTAGTTTTGTATTAGACTTGGATGACCAATAGTAATAGTGATAAGGAAAATCACGTTCTTTCACGATGAAGTCTCGATCAGTTGTGGTAAAGCCATGCCATATGCACCATGGAGGTTTAGCCAATGATCCAAGATCTACGTGCGTGTCGGTAACAGAAAACGGGCTTCCGAGCACAATGAAGTCGCAAATTGAAGAACGTTCTTAGTAGATTGGCGATTGTACGTTTATCATCTGTGCGAGCAAGCATTTCTAACTTTGTATTACACAAATTTGTAGGTTAACAGTTCATTTCTACGTCTACTCATAAATTTGAGAATGTATGACACTTGTAATAAAAAGCAAAGCAAACTCTGTCAAAAAAAGAAAGCGTTTGCGTTGACTAAAACCCGGCTATCACTATTGTCAGGATTGACTAAAAGTTTTGTAGGCTGTGAGGTGGTAATTATAGTAATAATCCAATAAATATGGTGCACTGCACTATGACGAAGAATTGATGTATCTTTCTGGTTTTGTCGCTCCAAGACAACAGACGAAATTCAGCTGATTTTTATTCTGAACACGGAATGTATTTGCAAGATTCAACCCGCTCTGTTCGTCTCCTGGCCATCTTTCAACGACAATGGAATGCTCACGTAAAAGATCTTTATCAAGCTCTTGCAACAAATTCCACAGTAATAGTAGTTTTTAGAATGCGACGAAACAATGCGAACACCAAATAGGAGTTGTATATTTTCGCTCGTGCAACAGAACATAAACATCCCTGCAACGAATTGAAGCTCATTTTGTTGCATGACAATTTTATGTAAGGCTAGAGTCTGAAGACAAACTTTATCACTTGGACAGGTTGCATGACAGTGGCAAATATCCTTGATCGGCTACTTTTTGCGTGCTCAAATCAACACTAATCTTTTCTCTTCCAAGCCTGCTCCTAGTCGATAAATTTACGGTTTGTGTGACATTAATAACGATTCTCCTCGTTCTAAATATATATGCATTATCTCGGTTGTTTCATCAGAGTATTTATTTACAATTAGTACCATTCTCACAAATCGCACTTACAAGTCAGACGACAAATATTTCCGTATATTATTTTATTGAGACATGATTTAATTACTGTTAATTAGTTATTACACCATTACCCTGTCTAAGTATCCCTTCCCAATAGTTCAATCATTTCTTTATGAATATAATACGATGATGTTTTATGGTGATTTTTTCCCGTGTCGTATCATTAAAGATACGTTACGCATTTTTAGACCAGTTTGTCAGTTCCCAAGCTTGTTGGAGTTTGATGACATGCATAAATTGATCACCAATTTCAATCTTTTGGTATCAACCCTGGCCAAGTATTTTCACCATTCTATTTAAATGCCTCTCGGTACACGTCACCATTATTCCCCAAGAAAGAAAGGAACTTCTTCCGGTTCTTCGTTAGTATCAATAAGTTGGTCGATATCAAGATGATCCATCGCATCAACTTGATCGTCAGCGTTAGCATCGTCAACTTCTAATTCAACCGGATGGTCATCGATCGCTGTGGTAACTAACGTATCAACATCGTCATCCGCTTCCGGTATAATTTCTTCGATGATATCCTTTACAGGAAGAGACTCTGTTGGGGTAGGACGCTGATATGCAGCAGCCTCAGTAAAAGTGACCCGTACATCAGATTGTGTTGGAGTAGGAGAAGAACGAGTTCTTGTAGTAATTGCACTATTGGTTGTAGCGTTTATACTGGCAGCGGCGGCGGCGGCGGCGGCAGCAGCAGCAGCAGCAGCCTTTCGTTCTTCGCTTACGCATAAAAGATCTTTTGGATCATATGTGAGATCCTCAGGTGGACATTCGGACACCTCCCTCTGAAGATTTAATCCCCGATGAATAAGTTCATCGTGACCCACCACATTTCCCCACAGATCTAACACTGGCAATTCAGCATATTGTGGTAAATGACCGTTAGGTAATTCCTCCAAAACAGTGTTGGTATTCATAAGCGGCACTGTAAATACTAGAGAAGGTGGTGTCTTCTTCCGCTCCGGGTGCATATGTTCGCCAGACTCGGCATGATTTGTTGACAGACTGGTGAAATTCTTAAAGTTTGGGTATAACATGACATATCCACGGAGATATACTAATTCAATGAAGAATCGCTTCCACGAGTTTCTCCATCTGACAGATCGACTACCAGGCACAGTAATGTTCTGTACGTTATAACCGTTCACATCATCCATCCTATACTTCAAATATTGATGAAATTCGCGCCATACTTCAGGGAAATAAACTGCACCCCAACTACAAGGCACTTGAAACAGATATGGCGATCGAGTAGGATAACTAGTATGCTGAAGCACAGCCTCGGGGTCAAATGGACGACGTCCGTTCCAATGGAGTTCGCTTGTCTTTGGACCATATAAACTAATTCCATACAGACGACGGGATGAACTCCTGCCAGGCCCATATCTGTACTTAAGAAGTGCATATTTGGCCCACATATAAAAGAACGGGGACACTTCGACATCATCTTCTAGTGGAATTCCGTACTCGTGATTATCAGCTGGATAATAAGATTCCATTACTGCAACCAACAAACCTCCCTGTACAACACGATCTCTAAGAGAGAATGAACCATATTGCCATTTGAACTTGCGGCAAAAATCCATTGTTTCTTGGTCTACCTTACGATCCATGCTTATAGTTAATGATACCTCGTCTCCGAAATAAAATGCTGACGATAAGGATTGCATTAAACGGGAGAACGAATTGAATCTGTTCTGTGTTATAACTTGTAATTGTATCCGAGGTCTCTTCCAATCTAATTACAGAAAACGGTATAGTAAAATAATACAATTAATACAGCCACCAATAATTCTTAATGTTCTCTCCCTATACATATTTTCAATGTTATATACTCACGTTGCAATATACTCAACGACAAGTCGGCAATCCATAAAGAATGCTTCACATCGGGTAATGGAATCGCAATTGTTGTAGCTCGGTCAAATCCACTTAATGCAGCACTTACACCTCTCATAACGTAATTATCATCATCTTTCGTAATAAATACGACGGCGGGGTTTGCTTTCTTCATTATTTTTCCGACAACCTGTGATGTCTGCATCATTACATCGATTTTATTCTCCTCAGACCACGAATATGAATTCCCATCATCAATATGCATATCGTACAATTTAACCGAACAGCCCTTTTTACGGATAATCGAGTCAATTTCTTCCTTGCTGGCGTCTCTTTTGGCTCCACTGATCAATACACGTACGGAAACGTCCTCCCAAAAAGCTATTCGACAAATCAAAGGCTGCCATGCGATTGCCTGACGTTTACTATCAATTACAAACATTACATTACTAGATAGAATCTCAACATCTATATCAGTATCGTGTTTGTGTGATGGTTTAGCTGGGGTTCTGCCAAAGAAGAAGGAACTAGCACATATGAAAAATAAGATGCAGATGATGACAATCGCATGCATTAGCTTGGGTGCTGCTGTCATCCTCATTGTCAGCCAGGTGAGTTGTGCGCGCTTTCGTAGCGCTGAGTATTGTGGCGACGATCGTCGGTATGTAGTATGCGACAGTCGGTCCCTGCGTTCCATGTCGTCTACTCTCATTGTTAGAGAAGTAATACTCGTGCAGATCACTTAAGTTCAGTGCATTAATCAAAATGCTCAGTAGAGAGCGGGAATTTTTAGAAGTCGATTGTAATGTATTGTTGATTATTTGAAAGAAACATAAGCTTGTTGGCTCCAAGACATTATATATAAACACTAAGCGCGCGCTTGATGTACAAAGTATTTTATTTAATCTCCAATAAAGTTATGTGAAACTAAATCTAGCAGATTTGGTTCTAAAAATGACTCTGAACAGAATGTAATTGGATCCCAAATATAACAGTGGGCGATTTGTAAATCTAATGTGTAACCGTCTCATAATACTAAAGATATCAAAACCTTTGCGTAATGTACGTAATAGTAAATAATCTTCTTACCTTTATAATTGAATTCGTTAAATGTCTCTTCTATTTTGAGCATAGCCAAACATAAACAGTAAGTTAGGCCTTCTTTATTTGGTAATAATTGCTTCTCTTTTCGTTGCCATCGCATAATGTATGGGTTGGTTATATTATTCATAATAATAACTAGTGATGAGATAAAACATTTAATGCATCGTGTAATGAATTATTATTATGGATGATACAAACAAAACAAAGTCATATAACAGGGAAAGCTGTTATAAATGTTTATACTCAATCAAAGCGAAAGCAATCTAGTAAATCTGGGAATGTTGTCAATTCAAAGTAATACAACGTGAGAAACACTAGTCATAATTGGGTACTAATACAATTAAATTGATTTTATTCATTATAATTACTATTACAATCGATGTGCATAAAATCATGGCAGTGATGCACGTGCTTAGGCTTGAATACAAAAATACAGTTCATGCATATCGCAAAGTTAAAGTTCTCGCCAAGTTCTTTTCTCAATTGACTGCACTTGTACGTTACTTGATATTTTCCATGGGTTAGCTAAGCTAAATGAAACACAGCACATCAAACTAAAATAAATAAGGAAATGGTTTAATCATTCGTGAAATTAAATAATAATAATGACTGGCATACCCCACATTATAATAAGTATGCATGATCTGCGAACGGTGAAATTGACTAAGGTAAAGTAAAAATAGCCGATAGATTAAAGAACTATCGAGCATCACTTACCAATAATGAGACAGAATATCACTGTTGTAAATAAGAAACGTGATTTTACTCCGAACAACGTCTTGCATGTTAGAAGCGTAACTATAACAATTTAGATTCTTTAGTTAGAACCCAAGGCTATGGTGTGAATACACATAATTGCTCCAGCAGCAAATCTACTACGCAATGATTCACCTTGAACATTGACACTGTGATTTGCGTGAGCTCTCTCCTTAGTGCGCATGGCATGACACAGTTGATCGCACGTCCAAAAAATCGAATCCTCATCGGGAGATAGTTGGCCAAGAAATAACAGCGTGATCCTTAATTATTTTCTACAAGTACAGAGCGAAGATATTTCATTCCAAACGACATAACTAGCCTCGTCAGTCGATAGTTGTGAGACATGTTAAGCTATTCCGAACATGATCATCCTAAGTAAATAAGGTGTGACACAAAGAATATATTTAGCGAGAGAAAACGTGATTTAAACCGAACCGAAAGTATCCATTACTATGTACATCAAACCGTAAACTCAAACTCTATTAGAATCCGGATTCTATTGTTCTTCTTTTGCCGACGTCTAAACAAAAACAACTCATTAATTCAAACTTTGTTATCTGTAAAAAGTCTTTTTCAACAAGAGCAGGCAATCTATCAAAAGCAAAACTTATAGAAATTGATCACTTGAAAAGCTGAAGACATGTAAGTTAGATATTTTCGTCTTGTTGTACCAAGTCGTGTCATCTCAAAAAAATTATTTATGAAATTTATCAAGAAGAAAGGAAAATCATAACTAATAAACGAGTCTTAATGCCAAATTATGATCATGATGAACCAAGAAAGAAAAGAAGACTGGCAGAATACACATATCACTATTAATCATCCTCTTCTTCTTCTAGTTCAACGGGTCCTTCTCACCGTTTAGTGAAGAGTCTTCTTTTTCAAATCGCTCAACCCAGACTAGCCAAGATGAAGAGAATTGCTCTCAAGCAGAAGGATTATTAGTCCTTCAGAAGAAAGTAGTTTCTTCTGAAACCAGACTGGTAGAACTAACATCAACACTGAGAGCTTGGCGAAGTTGACCATCAGTAATTTTTTTTTCTATTGGTTTACTTAAATATGTTCTAGTTCCGACTTTTTTTCCACACTTAACTCCTCAAGAAGTGAAATTATTTAGTTCATCGAAGTTTTCGCAAATCAAAAGCTTTACAACGGACGTTGTAATTTGAATCGCTCGATTATGTTCAAGAATAAACTGAAAGCGTTCGTAATTGTGTACGTTTGCCAAGATTGAGGGTTAATAATGTTGCGTTGTAGCGAGTCTTTCCGTCGGATGTTTTTGTGTTTTGGTTAAAATACCATTTATGATCCAACATTCCCTGATCTCAGAAATATGGTTTGTCAACATACGGTAGAACTGAGTATCCATGATGTGCTGAAAATAGAAAACTAGTGCATGGTAACAAAGAATTTCCCCCCTTTCCCTTCCGTAACGCGCTTTATTATTGATACGCACAAGTTGACTTAACCTGTCAAATAATTGTTTTCTCGCATCGTATGAAATGGAGAGGATTAATACCACATTTTGGGTTATTTCAAAACCGTGACTAGCTTTATGTATTTGTCAGTGGATGTGAACTTAATAGAGTTGCGCGTCTTACAAATTTACCATTTACACAAAACAATGTTATCCCAAACATTGCAGAACTATATTAATTAAAATTAATAGAGATTTAGCAAACGTAAGAGCGTGAGCAATAAAATAGAGCATTAACTCGAAATCAGATTTATAGTTATCATACACATTTTTTAGTCAATTTCAGACAAATTCTGTGTTTTTTATTAATTATATTAGTACTAGCATATCATAGTTTGTAAACCCTTTCGTATAATAAATTCTTTATTTAAAATTTTAAATAGTCATACATTTTGCTATTATTATGAAATCGCTTTACAGTAAAATGCATAAACAATTGATTCTCCCGTAATTTGGGATAGAAATGAACAAATGCTTTGAAAATTTCACTGCGTACAGTAATGAATACTGTATACCACAAACTGATTATCCGTAAATTTTAGCCCGATTAAACATTGCCTGAGAATTTTCTAAACATCTCCAAAACATAAAAACACGATTTTATTGATATGATGCATTTGAACGGTTGCGAGAGAATATTGTCAAGATACATCTCGGGCTAAAGAAACACTCGATCTGAATGCTACAATAAAATTTATTGGTAGAAAATTGGCAATTGCACTGTAAGACAATTTTTCTCCTTGCTCTTTCTTTCTTATATAATTTGTTTTTATATTGTTTAAATTTCATATTTGTATTTATACATATAGCCTTATTATTATTATTATATAACATCTTTACTTAAATATAGATGTGGTAGATTTGGTGTAGTTTGAATATTGTAACAAAATTTGCGACGTTGTCATTGTATGATGACGCGAAGTTATCTACCAGAATTTTCAGGTGATCAAACGTTTCATTTTAAATTATTTTGTCCAATGATAATAATGGAAGACGAATATTTAACCTACATGCGATCGAGCAATCGGATTGGTCAAACTTATGAATGATTTCAATAATTTTTGTGATGATCTGTTCTCCACATCCCACCATAGGATGCTTTTTCAACGGGTCTCTTTTTTGCCACATTCATGGTTATTTATAACGAGGAGGGTTATCGGGAAAAGACTTTTTCACACAAGCTGCACCTGGCATACCACAAGCGGTGAAAGTGCAGAGTCGGCTGGTAAATTCATCGTGAATATTAGATATACGATAAATCGTTGATATACTTACATTATTAATGAATAATAGACGCAGACAAGACATTGTCAAGATTTTGGAAGGAAGTTTCAGTAATAGAAAACGATGGTATGCGCATTTGAATACGTCATTGTGATATTCATGGCCAAAAGCAGATTATACTAATTTCTAGTGCAAGTTAATGTTAACGACACGCTCAGATGGGTGCGCGATAACTCTAGACAATCGTACCATAAAAACTCCAAAAGGTCTACCGTTAGTAATACCAAAACATAAAAGACAGCTGGCAGACTTGATTGCGAAAGAATGGGACGTCGAGTCTGTAATCATCAAACCCGAATGTATACCTCTGGTGAGCTATGGTTGATTTCTTGAGGGAGAATGGGATCAGGAAATGAGTAGCAGAGATGAGTAATTGCTTTTACTAATTACGAAAAGAAATGAAAGATTTTATAAAGATTAAATTGTATTGTAATCGAGGATTACATTACAAACCACAGGTCAAAATGACATATATCCACCAGTGGATAGATGTTGGATCGTGACCAGAGCAATTAATTGCCCATCGATTTTATCCCGGTGCATTTACAAAATACTTGTAGCGTAGACGGTGGATAGTGGTTTAGCAGGACTTTGGTTTATATACTATCTCTACACATCCATGTTATCTATCTATTCACTAGTAGATACCTGTCATTTTGACCTGTCAACGCGTGGGGCGTCAATGGTAAACGTCGCATAAACGTTCAAGACATTTCTTGTCACAAGGGCCATAGATACATTGGAGAAGGATTCGGAAGAGAGACAAGCAGTCATCTCACAGTTACTTTATTACTTTGATCGGGACAAAATATGGTAAATATCCGTAGACATGACTTTCATAGTCAATACGCTAATTATTTATACGGTTGCGGAACGCTTTGCAGTCGGCCATATTTGTTTCCAAAAACTTTTGTTGATCTTCAACAACAACACTGGGACCCAATTGTGAAGTGGGCTGAAAAACATTACGACATAAAAATAGAATTGAGCGAGACAGATTTTCGTCATTTGCAGTTGACGGAAGCGAAGGATAAGTTTCGAGGAATAGTGAATGCATTTGATGGGCTTAAGCTGTCTGGTAATATATATTGTTCGTGCAACATATTTGATATTATTTTGTCTATTATCTCATTTGTGTCTTTAAAGCATTTGAACGGGCAACAATCCTATCAAATTCATTCCTGATTGCGCTCGGTCTAGTGGAAAAGCGTCTGGGTGTCGAAGAGGCTGTATCGGCTTCCTTGACTGAAACCAATGCTTGGATCATGACTTGGGGAAACGTTGAATTGGGTATGTGATTCGTCGAGCTGGTGACCTCATCGCGAGTTGAAGCTGAAATTTTTTCTTTTTTCTTTTTTTGCTCTTAAGCGTCTGATTCAGATCAAGACCAATTACGGCAGCAATTGCAATCCGTTTATTTGTTGGTAGATGGAGATGATGAGTAGATATTCTGCAAAAGAGAATCGTCTTTGAAATTGTATAAGAGAATGTATGATTCTGTGTGGACAGAAGAATAAACTTGTTATAATACCTGATTCTATATTACTAATTAATATTGCTTTGTGACTCAATTGCCCAGCCCATTGTCTTAGCTGACCAATAAATATTATATAACCAGTAATTGTAAAACTTTTTATAGTAATATATCTTGTCTTAATGTGCTTAAACGAAATACCGAATTAGAAATAAAAATATTTTTTGGTTCAATAATATGTTTGCTTCTTCACAACGTGCATTTTGGGGACGGGTCTCGTGACGACACATCTTGCGCAATAGCTTATTAATCTTAGACAAGCGAATTTAAGCTAATCCATAAATAATATAATATCTCCATTGTAAAGTTCAATGTTACACATCGTAATCATATTTGGCTATTTAGGTATAAGACATACTTGGACCCTTTGCAATGGGACTTTTTCTCTTTCTAATCCATTGTCTATGCAGAGACAGTGAAAAAAAAAGGATATAGTAATATTATGTGCAGCGTCAAGATTTGACATTAAAAACAAACTCCGAAAACATGACAACTGTCGGCACAAGTGTACGTACTAACTAGTACAGACAAACTAAACATGAATGTGAAACTGACTTGAATCGATTTAAAAAACGATCACAGCCCCCAAAGGATTGTAACGGTGATGTCTGAATAAGGTACAGTGTATCCAAAAGGAAGACCAGTAGAAGTGAAAATATTGTGAATTGTGACATTTATTGTGACAATGATTGCAATCCGGGTTACAATTGCTAATCGAATTCTAGCCGTTATCCGAGATGGTAAAATTATGGCTTGTCTGTTATGGACACAAAAACACTCTTAAAGAAAAACAGAGGCTAGCACAAGGCAAATAAGATCGCAAAATGATGTTTGCTTATCGGACAATTCCCACCTCTGTTTACCTTAACACAGACTTAGAATAGCGGAGAAACTTTGATTCGTTTGTAGACTTTTTTGACTTAGTTGATGAATTATTGCCGAACGGACATTCACAGTTTGTTGTTTCTGCATAACAGAAATTAATAATCATAACGGCAAGTGTTTGCGCCATCATTCTCCAATAACACGCGATTCATATTGGTGTGACCATCACATCACAAGATAAACGTATTACAAAAATCAAAATGACGTGATGAAGATCACAGCCACAAGAACAAACATATAAAGAACTTCTATAACAATATGCATGAATAACTTACATCCTCCAACTGAAACAAACCGAAGCAAGTTGTCCACGAATTTGGGTATTCTGGTTGCATAATGGACTACAGTACTTCGCATAGACTAGAAGAATCTTCAGCTGCACAGCTCAATGGAACATCAACTATAGTGAGGCGCTCGAGTGTGAGAACGAGGAATGAGAACGTTGAGCAACAAACGGACATTCTCGATCAGCTGCTACAGGTAATTGTTGACTTTCTAAATGCATAGAAACTTTCCGTTCGGCGTTTTCAGTGATTGTTGTAGTCAGTTATCCTTTGTAAGTGGCAGTTTAGTCAGAGACGTGTTTTCTACCCACCTCGAAATTGTTGTATAGATGATCACATGAATTATAGAGTTTTTCAACACTCTATTCGAAGATTTATTGGGTAACCTGTTTTAACTGTTACATTCTCTCGGTTTAATTACGTTCAACCAGGATTTTGGACAACTGTCGGAAAGAGATCAACTCACAGTCAGCCAAATGTCGGCTAATTTTGCAGCCGCATCACCAAGACTCCGTTGTTTTATGCTAGTTGACTTACTAGCTCATTGCGACCTTTCACAACTATCCTTCCTTGCTCAGAGTCTACATTCTTTAATTCGCATCGATTTTTTAAGGGCCCTCCCACGTGAATTGTCATTTAAGATTCTGTCATATCTAGACGCTCAGTCATTATGTTCGGCCGCTCAAGTATCGAGATTATGGAGATGTTTGTCGGACGATGACATTATCTGGCAACGGATGTGTGAACAACATACTGATAGGAAATGTAACATATGTGGATGGGGTTTACCCCCGTTGGGTGGACGACCGACTCCATGGAAATATATATTCGCTAGTCGATTAATAGTGGAGCGTAATTGGCGTAAAGGACGATTTCATGTCAGAGAATTAACTGGACACACAGATGGAATAATGTGTCTACAGATGGATAACGAGGTTTTGATTACTGGTTCGTACGACCGAACAGTACGAGTATGGGATCTTTATACGGGTCGGCTTATCCGAGTACTAACAGGTCATTCCCAAGGTGTTCGAACATTACAATTTGACAAAAAAATTCTAATAACCGGATCTATGGATGCTACATTACGAGTATGGGATTATCATACTGGGCAATGTATAAGAAGGCTTACCGGCCATACGGGCACTGTAGTTAGTCTTCATTTTGATGATAAAAAACGAGTGGCCAGCGGATCCGCTGATCATACAATTCGAGTTTGGGACTTTATTATGGGAACATGTTTCACACTCACTGGGCATTGTGATTGGGTTAACAGTGTGAAACTTTACGAAAATCTGTTGTTCTCATGTTCAGACGATACAAGCATTCGGATTTGGGATTTGGAAACAAGAACTTGTGTGCGCACGTTGGTTGGACATGTTCAGTCGGTTCAATGTATTCAATTAGCGCCGGCACTAGCGTTTTCTAATAGGTCCTCCACGCCCGTTCAACACACACCGTCCGCAGCGAATCATTCAAATGATGATTGTCCAGAAGCAGACTCTTATCCAGTACTTGTCTCTGGATCGCTTGATAACACGATTAAGGTTTGGGATATTCAAACTGGCGTGTGTTTGCGAACTCAATCTGAACATACGGAAGGTGTGTGGTCTCTGGCCGTTGATAAATTAAGGATAGTTAGCGGAGCACACGATAAAACGGCCAAGATCTGGGACAAAGATACGGGAGAGTGTTTGCATACGCTCACCGGACATGAAGGCCCAGTGACATGCGTCGCATTAGGAGATACAAAAATCGCTACCGGAAGCGATGATGGCAAAATCAAACTATGGGATTGTTGTGGGTTTTGAGGAGTATAGATGAATGTACATTGTGTAACAAAATTTTTGGAATATTCGTTATATGGTTAAAATTGTGTATAACTTTCCCCCCATAATAATGTAATTCGCGTCTCTTAAAATAAAACGTTTCTCTTTTTTCCCTATTATGGAAAGCTATTTAACGCGAAAGCATTTATGAAAGCATTATCCACGAGCAAATACCAATAAGAAAGGAATTTATTATTGAGGGCACGTATCATATAGCTTCGCTTAGCATAACAATTGACACGGTGGTCATTATTATTAGTGTCTCATTCAGTGCGAAACTATAAACCATAGGCCATGTGAGCAGTTGATGTAAACTTGTCATTATGCTGCCAGAATAAGTGCCGATCCCGGGATGTTCTATTACAATTTCCATGACACGGGTTGAATTATAACTTTTATGTGGGGAAACATAATAAAAATTTTCAAAGTCTTTCGGTGATTTGACAATAGCTACGAAAATACGCTTATACATTCTGCGTTGACAAGGCCAACCAGATTCGGGAACGTATCTATTCAAATCTACAAACATTCTCTGCATTGTGTGATTTAAAAAATCAACATACTCGCGTGTCTCCAAAACTGAAAGGAGAAATGATTTTGATACGAACGGTATACTGATTTAACTTCTAACAAAATATTCAACCGCATTGTATTCTGACATCAGTTTTCGTTGTCGAGGAACTATGCCCTTATTGAACTAGTATTAGATCCGCAAATATCCATTAAAAACCGTAAAATAAAATTTTATTGGTAAATCTTCCTACTTCTTTGAGCAAATTCTTATCGCTCCCAAAAACGGTTTATTATTTCTATTATTGATCTATAGTATGACTGTCGCACCCATTCAAACGCCAAGTTATCGTAGAACGTCTATGACGTCATGAAGCCATCGCCAGGTCTTAACGCGCAGGAAATTTTTCAGATTAACCCTCCGTCGAGTTACAGGGTTTTAGATCTATCATCAGATTATAGAGCATTCATTCTAGCTTTACAAACCAGAATTGTTTTATACAAAAGTTGAAACGTTCTGGTTTTGAAATTAAAAAGTGTCCCCTGAAATATTATGTTTTTGCGGACCCCTGTTAATATTAATATGCAAGCATAGTATAAATCACGTGACCGTAAATTGCCACCAGGCGGCAACGAAGGGTAAACTTGTCTTGTTTCTCCACTATCGAAACTGACCTACAAGATCAGACAATGACACAGCGAGCAATGGCATATGGTATACAGTCGGGAGCTTCTGGGGCAACAGGTTTGAATTTCTCGTTCTGATACCTGGCGGTGCTGCGAAGATGAGAGTGCTATGAGACCATGTTGTTATTAACATAAGAATTTGGGGTCGCATAATTCTCGTTTAAAGGTAATGGATTGGCAACGCGTCCAGTTCCCCCTACTCCTTCGCAACAACAGCAACAACAGCAACAACAACAACCATTTTCGCAACAAATACAACCACAAAGTCAGGGTCTACCCTCGTCACCTTACCTCCATCCACAACGACAGCAATTGCACCAAGCCCAACAACAACAGCAGCAGCAACAGCAGCAACAACAAGCAATACCTCTTCAACATCCTTCTCACTTACCATTTCAGGTGCATAAATCTACAACGAATTCGACCGGTCCTCCAATGGGTGTCGGAATGGGAGGGGTGGGGATGGGAATGGGTGGTGGAATGAGAGGATCAGTGGGCACGATAGGAACACCGACTTCATCAATGTCGTTGACGAGAATGAGTGATTATGATTATGAAGGGAGCGATCAGTTATTATCCAAATTGAAGATACAGCAATTATTGGGCCAAATCGATCCTAAAGAGAGACTAGAGCCTGAAGTTGAAAATGTATGGAATTGTGCATAAGTGTTAATATTTGTAGTTGAAATCTTTGCTCATGGGAGGTGAGGGTTTAGTGGAATAAGAAGTAATGATCACTTTCGTCCCCTCCCCTTTTCCCTCCCCTGTTCGCCAATGCTTATACGTGTGATTCTGTTGTAACAACATTATCCCTTACCTCATTCCCGTTGATCGTAATGTTTGATTGTAACTGAAGCTAATGGGCCACATTTGATTATCTCCCACTTAACCGGATTAGATATTATTAGAGATAGCCGATGAATTTATAGAATCAGTTGGTTCTTTTGCATGTCTTTTGGCCAAGCACCGGAAGTCTGATACACTGGAAGTGAAAGATCTCCAAATTCATCTCGGTAGGCATCATTCGCGCGACGTCAATTATTCAATGTACAGTCATCCGGATTTGTCTCTTTAACTCTATTTATTTAACACACTCTCTCTAAGAACGTAATTGGAATATCCGGATCCCAGGCTTTGCATCAGATGAAATACGATCGGCTCGCAAACCAACGACCGCCACTGCCCATCAAAATAAAATTGCAGCAATAAACGCACACAAGGCAACGAAAGCGCAAGCAACACAATTAACCGGACAATCTGCTAATCAAGGGCCGAATCAGTCAGGTGATACAAGCAACGGTGCAAATCTGAACGTTGTAAGTAGTGGGAATGGGGGCGGCGTGTCAGCAGGTCGAAGTGGTGCCGCGGTTGAATAAATTGGTGATATCTATTGTATATTGGCACTCTTGTGAGATGGGGTGTATCGTCGTGGTGACCTTGTTTGAGGGGAGGGGATTCAGAATCATGGCGTCCTCCCTTTTCTACCCGTTGATTTATGATGGACCCGCAGCGAACACAGACTGATTTGGCAATATAAGTCTGCAGTTGTATTTATTCTTGACTTGCTCTCATTGATTCTAATGTTAAATTAACATCTAATTTGCTAGCATTAAGTTCAGTCTTATTTGAACTGCTATAAATACTTCTTTGCAACAAACCTCACTCTTGTATCAAAAGCAGAAGATGTTATAGGAGAATTGACTTCATAGAATGGGTTTAATAGCATCTAATAAAAGTATAAATCATCACAAGAGGTAAGTGAGCAAAACGCTAATTCTTTGATCGTTTATTAATATCATTCAGAATACAATAAAAAGTTCTGCTTAAACAATTATTAGATCACATACAACTCACCTTTATGTACAATTCATGACATTCGTTGAAGAATGTTCTGATGCCTTCTTCATTTTTAGTCTCATGAAGTAGCATGAGCTTTATATCTTAATATAATGTAAGCGAATAATCACTTATACGACAATGACAATCACACGGAACATATGCTTATCACAAGGATACTTCCTGCTGTAACATAAGCGGATATTAACCATTCATTGAACTTATCAATCGATTTCAAATACCTTAAATAAAGAAGACAAGTGTATCTTAATTAAGGAGAATATAGTTTGGGAAGAGAAGGTCATCTCGAACGTAATGTATTACATGGCATTAGACTTCCATTGAAGTTCCTCAACTACATCCAGGGCGGAATGTACTATAAATTGATTCAAATGCTTATGTTCATCTCTCTAAAGAAAAGAGGAGGGTATTAGTGAATTGTTCGGTAGAATCGTCACCATTATATATTTTCAGCAGCAATTCTACGCAATCGCTAGCCGCTCTGCCATACTTAAAACTGTTGATATACCGTCAACAATGTCCACTCCACATTGGGAACGTCTTATCGTTATCGTTCATATAAATTCACTTTCATATGAAAACTGACCCTAATTGCCTCGGAACCACTACCACGCCCAGTTGATGTAAATTCGGCTTCAAATATTGGGTTATCCTTTGTGCCAACTATTACAAAATAGTAAGACATTTTCGACAATGCAAAATAGTGTCAAGAATGTACCTCCATTTTATAGTATTTTTTCCCAATGTGTATACAGCACATAACGCCACAGAAATGTTTAACCGCCGCAGTATTTAAGGAAAACGTCATCCTGTAATTGACATGCTATGAAATCAATCAGCTCTTTTCATTGCGAGTGAATTATTCGTATCCATAGGGAAAGCATAAGGATGAAAGCAGGCGAAGTTTGCTCGACGGATTAAAAAACGTGTTACGCGAATTGGCATTACCAACATTCAATTCCAAAAGACAAACATTTCTACCTCTGCGAAGGGAAATTTAGAATGACCAAAAGGCCGATTAATTCGCTATACCGAAAAGTTATTGGATGGATTCTACTGTGGCGTTCAAATGTCTAAATAGTTGTTGCTATGGCGCGTACGTACATGTGAAGATACCTAATTATCGGAAATGAAATGGTGTTACTAAGAAGATTGCAGCTTTGAACATGCAAGTCTCTCATTCTAACGAACAATGCACAAAGCCAAAGACTGTCTGCTTGTCTTTCACAGGTAAACATCAATATTGTCATATTGTAATCATCTTCAGCTTATCAAATACTAAATCATTTCTACTTTGCAATCAAAGGTGGTAAGGACAGCACTTTGTCGCTACACATCCTCTCACGCACACCGGCCCTGTACAAAATCACGACTCTCGTAACATTCACTCCAACGAACCCTACAACACCGTTTCTCTCTCATCCTCAATCGATCATAACGCTCCAATCGCATTGTCTATCCTTTCCTCACGCCTTCTTTCCTACTTCCGCTCCATATCTATCCTCCTATCGGGAACATATAAAATCTCTCGATGTCGATTATTTTGCAACTGGTGACATTCTTGATGTATGTAACAACTTTCTCGGTCGTGCAGCAGAGTCTACACGGACTGAATTATTAAGGCCTCTTTGGCATCGCCCAAGAGAAGAAATTATGGAAGAAATATTCAAATTGGGGTTTACGGTAATAATTACCTGTATTGCATTAGAGAAAGTGAACGAAGACAGAGCGAAAGAGCTTGTCGGAAAGGTATTGGACAGGGAATTGTATGAAAAATTGAAGAGTTTAGATAACGTTGATGCATGTGGGGAGTTTGGAGAGTATCACACTATGGTTCTTGACGCGCCATTATTTCGAAAGAGGATCGTTGTGACAAGTGGAAGTGTTACGAAAAGTGAAGACGAGAAGTTTCTCTATTTTAAGTTCGAGGACTATAGAGTTGAGAGTAAAGAGTAACATAATAAGTGATCAAGTTAATTGTGTGTGTTGAGATCCTTTGACAGAAAGAATGTTCCTATTCCATCAAAACAAAGACAAGGAAACAGTGTTGTTAGTTAAAATAGGTGAAGCAACAACGGAAAGAAAGCTGCATCTTAAATGGATCGAATTAACAGTAAGCAAGCTCATGGCGATCGAAACGAATTATATCAAAAGTACGTGCCCTATAACAGAAACAAAAATTGAAAGCAGCTGGTTATAGTATAATTCTGGTTTGTCTGCATGCAGTATGTCCCGTTACAGACGTACGATTTCCAGATGTTGCCCGAATTTCAATGCGCCAACCCAGACTCTAAATGTAGGTACAAGTTGAGTATACTAACGCTAAAAGTCAAGCCTGATTGTACCACAACAATGATCTCATTTTGTCGTCTTACACACTATTTGAATATAGCCTGCACGATTTTGATATAACAATCCTTGATGCAGGATCATATTAACTGGCTACATGTGATGCTGTACAAGATATTGCCATGAATCTTTATTAAATTTCATACATGCATAGAACACACGTCAGCCCACGAAAAAAATTCTTGGCTTTTTTTTCTGACGTTAAAGTCACATGGCGTAGTCCGCGACAATAATTGCCCGAAACTTCCATAGACGTATTATAACAACAGGTTCAGATTGTCCTTTCACTCCTCGAACATAACCCACGCAGTAGGCTAGGCTGGAGCGTCGCATTCCGCACTGGAATATAATGTCCCATTTGAAGTATCTTTTAATCATTTGCCGTCGCATTCCTTTTGATGAAGAAGGCTTTTCCTGCTTCATAACTGGAAATCATAATAGCGCATGCTGGAACGGCTTTGCTCACTCTCAGTCCCCATCCTACAAAATATGGTGATGAGTATGAAAAATTTCATCGTTTACTACATTCCAATGTATCAGGACTCACCCTTCATCAATCCCATGTAACCTTCCTCTTTAAATACTTCTCTTATGATACTAATCATTTCCTTACTTGCTCCTAAATTAAAATAAATATAGATCACATTAGCATATTTATAAAATACGTCTACAGAGTTTCTACTTGTTGAATAGCCAATTACCAGAGCCTGATGCGACTTGTCGCCTTGTCTTTGCTACATCAAACGGAGTAGTAAGCGTAGCCGCAATCTACATGTAAGTAAATGATCAGATAATGAAGCTCGATAACTTGAGCTAGTTAAATTGCTGACACGCATATATCTACGTACCATTCCCGATATAGCACCGCAGATGAATGAAATTTCAATATCGCTAAGATTATGTATTAACCATCTGTTATCGTGCCTCTTCATGAGACTCTTCTTTGTTGATTCATACCCAGTCCAATATATAGCTGAGAATGGTACATCTCTCCATAGTGTAGGACCGAGTCCACGCCATAATGACGATAGTCCATTTGATCGTACCATCCTACTGATCCCATTTAATACGCCAACAATACCATTATTTCCTTCTGCGCTCTGCATCCGAGTTCTTAATAGTTCTATAGGGGATATTACTGTAGCTGCAGCGGTTCTTGCTATCGTTCCGGCCGCTAACGGAACATAAACTTCTAATGATTTGTTTTTACACTTTTGCCACATTGTATCTCTTAGATAATCATATCCAATAAAGTATATTACAGTTGCGGGAACGGACATTACACTGCAAATAGAGGTGAGAATATATAATCAGCATGATTTGAACCATTTACATATAACATTAAATCAGCATATATCACTCACAGTGCTGGCACTAGACCTCTCCATAATGATGTGATGCCTTCATATTTTACAATTTTAACTAATCCATCCTATCCAAAAACAGTGGTTGTCATTAAACTTCTCGCCAGCTTAGCAGAAAAAGCATCAAGTATTTTACAGTGATTATTACCAACGTTCCGTTAAGTCGTAGACTCGTTGCTAGATGAGGAATATGAGCACATCCTATGGTCTCACTAACTGCAGGAGTGAATAAGAATTTCCGGCGTAAATTATTTGTGGTAAAGAGTAAGTCTTGACAGTCAGCTGGAACACACTGACAAGAATATTGTCCCTTTGCTATCGATAGTGATTGAAAAAGGTTCTGTGATTGTAAGCGTATCTTGACTACGTCAAACGGAGTGGCTGAATACAAATACGGATAAATATACGTTAAACAGTTACAACGGCAGAGTAGACGGTAAGAATGTTCATTAGCATACTCACTAAATATTGATGTTGCAATCGCTCCTGTACAAGCAGATAGCATCTTCTGCATTGGTAGTAGATGTTGCAGTTGTTGCGTGGATAAGACCTTGTCAGACGGCAGTGCAGTGTGAGTCATGTATGGCGAGCGAACCTTGCCATTTACGTCGTTTAAAGGTACCCATTCCAAAGGCATTGCATTAGAAGTCGCTGTATACGATAGCTCTTGCGTTGCAACCATTACGGTAATAAACTCTTTTAATTATTATTATGTCGACAGAATGAATTAAACTAAACTTAAGAAGTGGTCTTGTTTATAGCCGCAAACGCCCAAAAAAAAAACGCGTGAGGATTACCTCATAAGGTTTATCAGATTATAGACACGTGGCGCCAATTGTATAAAATCTGATAAGGGGTAAAAAATGATTAGTAAGTGTTCATATGCCTATAGTACGTAAGTGTTCATATACGTAATGTGTCTCGCAATATAATACACAAAATAAGGAATGCATATGTGACCCTTTCGGAAATTGACTCGTTCCCTTTCAGATCCAAATCGGATAACCTCCGAACATCAGGTCTTATCCGGGCAACGCCTATTACAATTTATCCATCGAAATGAATCGATCTATATCATATGTTTTGTTACACTAATGATGATGATAAGCAATTAATAATGTGCTGCAACATAATGAACACACAAAAATTCCAGGGCTCAAACCTGTTGAATGTAAACAAACCATTTGCACTCGATATCAAACCCCAAAAATGTGATCGGAGCATGACCTCCAGAGCCATCCATCAAATTTGCTATTCGATATCGGCAATTCTAGACGAAATTTAATATATTGTCAGATAATAAGCCTTTTATTGAAACGTCGTTATGATAAAACGTTACAAGCAACTCGATCTGTTCGTAAATGCTCTAAATTGTGTAGAACCTAAATGTCATGTAAAATTACAGTCACATGATATGAAATTGGCGCAAGTGAGCATCTATTACGTCATATTCAAATTCTATTCACACAACTTTTCTACTATCTTACATCGAGTCGCCATGATCTATACACGATTTATTATCGTTCTTACTGTCGCTTTGTTTATGGTATCTTCTTCTTTATCACAATTACTAGTACCAGACTTCTCCATGCATGATAACTGCAACAGTAATGGTGACTTGCCCGAACGTAATGCGATACACTTTCAAACTGAAGACTCAAACGAACCCATCACTGGTCCTAGGTTGGAAGATTTACTTCCCATGCATAAGGATTTGACGATATTTATGGACGGAGTAAGGGCCTACGAGGACACGGTATGCAGTGAATAGTCAAATTTACACGGCTCGTCTTTGAACCTGTTTATTAACTCCAAACTATTATGCTTC